ATCTTAATGATGTTTCCCCATCAAGAGGAATGGTTAAAAGGACTCAACCACAAGCAGCCAGTGGCCATTGCCTTACTAGTCTCTGGTGTGGCTGTGTGCTCTTTGAACTATGGTTGTTGCCACGTTTCCTGGCTTTGGCCCCCTCCCCCACCTTAGGAAGACGAATCTTCTTTCTCCCTTCTCTCTCTCTAATTTATTTTTTATTTTTTTATTTATTTGTTTGTTTTTGAGTTGGAGTCTCACTCTGTCGCCCAGACTGGAGTGCAGTGGCCACTCCCGGCCACCGCAGCCTCGACCTGCTGGGCTCCGGCGATCCTTCTGCCTCAGCCTTCCAAGTAGCTGGAACTGCAGGCGTGCGCTACCACTCCCAGCTAATTTTTTGATTTATTGTAGAGATGGGGTCTCATCAAGTTGCCCAGGTGGGTTTTGAACCTGCGGGCTCAGGCAATTCACTCACCTCAGCCTCCCAAAGCACAGGATTACAGGCAGAGCCACTGAGCCCGGCTTCTCTGATTTATTTTTAAATAAGCTTTTCTTCCTTTGCCTCTTTGTGTGTTGCAATTCTTTGCATTACTCAGATCTCTGGGTTCCTGGTGCTGCACCTCCCCTGGCCTCTCCATCCACCCTCACCCTATCCATACCCTAACACTCATCTCTACAATAAATAAAAAAATTAGCTAGGCTTGGTGGCATGCACCTATAATTCCAGCTACTTGGAAGGCTGAGGCGGAAGGATCACCTGAGCCGAGCAGGTTGAGGTTGTGGTAGCCATGAGCATGCCACTGCATTCCAGCCTGGGCGACAGAGTGCGACTCCGACTAAAAAAATTAAAAGGTGAAGTCAATATGGCAGATGAGCATTCAAGATGGAGTTGCTTTAGCCTCCACAACATGCGTCTCTAGGGCAGCTTACATGCAGCTGAGGGTTTGACGGCTGGGTCATAGGGTGGGCATTGACTAAGTAACCCCAAATTATCTTCCAAAGTGTTTGTACCAGGTCACACCTCTCTATCAGCAGTTCTTTTGCTCCACATCTGTACCAACATGTGGTATTTTCCGACTTTTTAACTGTCTTTCTAATCTAGTGGGTACAATGGTATTTCTAAGGCCTTAATTGGCATTTCCTGGGGTTGGGCGTGTTTTTGCATGGTTATTAACTGTTGTTTCTGCAATTGTTTATTCATGTGTTTTGTCCACTATTCTTTTCTTTGAGTAGGAGTCTCACTCTGTCACCAGGCAGGAGGGCAGTGGCATGCTCCTGGCCACCAAAGTCTTGACCTGCTGGGCTCAGGTGATCCTTACCCACCAGCCTTCCAAGTAGCTGGAAACACAGGCATGCGCCACCATGCCCGGCTAATTTTTTGATTTATTGTAGAGACAAGTCCTCACCAAATTGCTCGGGCTGGTCTTGAACCTGCGGACTCAGGCAATCCACTCGTGCCAGCCTCTCAAAGTTCTGGGATCACAGACTGAGCCACTGAGCCTGGCTGATATATATATTAATGACTCTGGTGCCGTCTTAACTGGGTGAACAGGAATGCAGTCCACTTGGCCAATTACACAGGAGGCAGGGGCGGAGTAAGGGGAGTGACCAGAGCCCCTTCCTCCCAACGTGTCAGCAGCTACAGGAAACAGCGGTTCCGGATATTCGGGTTGATGCATTTCTGCAGAGCTCGTGCTAGCTGAATTGGGAAGGTTTCTTGTGGCTCCTGACGAGAACAGTGAAATATAATAGAAACAAGAACTGTGGAAAAGCGGGGAGCCGAATTCACCGGCTCCTGGCCCGTCCGAGTCTGCTTTCGAGCACATCTGGGTTCAGGGACTCTGTGCTCCCGGGAACCGGTCCCTCCCCGCCTCGCTCGGCTCTGCTCTGCCCTTCGTCGGCCCCATTCTCGGGCGGCGGCTCCCGATCACGCAGCCAAGGTCGGGGCCACTCTGGGCTCCCC